GCTGCGGGACAAGCTGCGGGACAAGCTGCGGGACAAGCTGCGGGACAAGCTGCGGGACAAGCTGCGGGACAAGCTGCGGGACAAGCTGCGGGACATGCTGCTGAAGCATGAAATTTTTGCATAAGCCGTGTGACAAGCTGCGTGACACTGCCTTTATATAGCAACAAAAATATTCGACTTACAATGAAAACGTTTCGTCAAACAAAGGGAAAAGCGTATTTTTGACCACTTTAGTTTTTCTTTCTTCTCGACCAAATATATGGGCTGGTTGCAGTCGTAACACCACGTAGGGATCCGACAAACCTGCAAAGTTAACAGTTGGTATAAAGTGATTTGAAACTATCCATGGAAGCAAAAACTACCCAAAAATAATGTTGGAAATTATTTTCGTAATTCTCATGTTACAGTAAAAGTTTTTTACAACCTCAAACAAAAACAGAGTGGAGTTGATAGTGTATAGTGACTAGAACTGATGAAAATGGAGCTAACTAAGATTAGCAAAACAAAAACAATCCCAAAAAATAATAATTTCAAGGATGTCGAGGTACAATCATATACACTCAATTGCAGAATCATTGCCGGATTTAAACATAGAACAAATGAGCTGAGAGCAGAGATGGTACATGGGAAGTACCGTTCAAGTTGAGTGTATGAGACGAGAAAAGATACATGTTTGTCAGTGCATATAGTTAGTTTAAAAATCCCTTAGTAAAATTACTGAGCTTACCGTTTGTATCTAAGGCGACCAGGTTTCGTGCATTTAATACTGAAAAGAAAGCAACCTTTTAGATTTATACTGATCGCCGTCGTCAGTGTTCACCCTTAGAACTAAGAAACAGAAAGCGCGCGCGTGCGTGTGCAGTTATGAAGCACGCGGGGATTGGCAGAACACAAGAGAAGCACGAAGCTTTGCGCTTCTCAAAACTTCTCGAGTTATCTTCCAATCCCCCAAAAGCTTCATAACTTACACAGCACAGCAAGGACGTTTTTTGGATGCTATAAAAACGATTCGGTGGTACAAGCGAAAACAGAGCGTCTGGAAAATTAACTTTGTCGCGCGATTTAATCGCAACCCCGGATATTTTACGGCAATTTCACATGGCGACAGATCGCAGCCGCAAATTCAAACATGCTCGAACTTAGTGCAACTCTTGTTGGCGATTTTAAACTGACCCTAAGTTTAGAGACTTTCGAGTTTCGAGAAAACCCATGCAAGATGAGTTGGTTTCTCATTATCAAAATACGTATCACATACTGACCTTCCACTAGTAACTTCCGATTTTCTTTGTCGTAGAGTGCTCGGATTGTTACCGCTCCATACGTTTCCGTGGACTTGTCCTGATGAAATTGAAAAAAAGTTAGAGGCCTTATTTGGGAAGGGGGTTTTGGGCAGRATGGGGGATAGTGTCTCGGCATGTTACCTCCATTGTCATTAGCAGCTCAACTGTTACCTTAACTTTTTTTGGGACAGGAGGAGTTATCTCTTCTCTCCATGGGAAATCTTAAGGTTTGAGGAGATCCAGTAAATAGCCGTTAATGTCTGTCTGTCTGTCCGTCCATCAGTTCACCATTGTCATAAACAATGCATTCTCCCCTGAATTCTTACCTGACGTTCACACAAATCCACGAAGTACATCTGAATCAGCTCATTGGTTGACATGCAGCGAATTGTCAAGGTGGTCTGCAGAGACTTGAAAAAATAAAGTTTGTAGTCAATTAACAGTTTCTTCAATTTTGTTAACTATTCATGGTTCAAGTACTCAAATGAACAGGACATACCTTGTACAGCCCTCCAGTCAGTTGCTCATTGGGCAAGCCAACGCCATCGGCGTGGAAAAACGCTTTGATTATCTGTTAAACAAGAGAAACTTGTTACTGTACTTCATGAGAAGTAACGGCGCTCGTCTCTCCCCACGGCGACCGAGTTCGATTCCCGGGCTGTCGCATGTAAATTTAAGTAGAGTTTGGCTTTCTCCTGTACTGTGAGGTGTTTAGTTCTCCGTGTTCTAAGGTGTTTCTTCCCTCCGCAAAAATAAACTTATAAATAATCCCAACTGGCAGTTAGTTAAATAAGAGCCACTTTGTGGAAATGCCACAGTTGAGTAAATCCCTTTTTTAATTATTAGCATTGCTCATAAGAAATAAATAAATCTTTTGTCATACGGTTTAACGCGACATTTGTAAACGACAATTATTATTAAACTTAGGTTCCGATGATGCCGCCCCCCCTCCCGGAAAAAAAAAAAGAAACGACATGGCCACCATGTTGGTTGACTTACTTTAAAGGAAAGCAAAAGAAAGATTTTTGTTGAACTCAAAAAATCATTAATGTGTAACATGCTGACGGGAAGGACGGATATAATATGGTGTACATTATTCATTCCTATTCGGTTTGCAAGGCCATTTTGATTATTGAAATGTTACAGTTTTAGATGTAATTCAGAATTCAAATATTCTTACCTCAATAGATTGTTGAAGTCTCGTGAAGAACTCAGGAGGGTTCTGTCAAGATGAAAGTAAAAAGTGACATTAAAAAGAAAAGAAAAAAAACGTTTTTGGGGGTGAGCCTGTCAAGCCATATAGTTGTAAAAGCGAAACAATTGCTTTATTGTAAGTCATTGATAAATTCTCTGGTAGAGTGAAGTCATTAAACCCGTGCAATAGATATTAGACTAGTACTCATTAGTAGACCCTAATTCCATTGTTTTCTTTTGTGTGTATTTGACTATTACACGTTGACTAACTTTTTTTATTTCATGGTTTAAATGCCTTCACTTTAATTAAAAAAGGAAGCAAAAACATGAAGGCTATAGTACCTATTCCCTAGCGGTTAGCTCTGGGACAAGCGGGACTGGGGCGGGGGAGAGAAGAGGAGAGACCAATCAAATCTCTCGTTCTATACTGATACTAATCAGTGAAAATGAAGATAAGTTAATCAAGAACCATACCCCACGACTTGACTTCACCATGTYGCTAAAATTTTCTACAACGACTTCCCACATGAACTCCAGAATTCTGTGGAGAAAATGATAATGAATTTTTTTTTAAACGTTCTGAGAAATTAAGTACGGTTATAGATAACATGCGGGCACGGACCGCGATAGGTAGTGCATTCGGTGCACACAAGTGGTAAAGACATTTAACTGATTTTCTCGTCAAGAACCTCACATCAAGAATGTGCTTCAACCCGTTACAACAACAACGACGCAATTCACAATGGCGTAGCGAGAGCACTAGACTGAGCTGGRGCTAGGGACGAGTACACGCGTTTTGGAGCGAACATTCCCGCCAAAACCACGGATAGACCAACAAAATAGGCAAAATTGAATTTCTCTACTTTCCAATACCCATAATACTTTGCAGTTTTGGCTGGTAACCAGAGGGTAAAAACCGTACTTATTTTGCTGAAGGCTGATCATACAATGTTGAAAATACCTCGTGTGTATCGAAATATAAAATGAAAAAGTTAAAAAAACAAAGAAAGGCAAAAGCTTGAAGAAGTTTAAAGGGGCACTGCGAATTTGTAACGTTTATTACTCGTACTTACTCCTTGAACACAGATTTCATGAGGCTCTTATTCAAGATCATTAAATCATCGTCCAGGTACTGCAAGAGAGGACCTATGGCCTGGAACGAACAATCAAAAGATAATAACTCTCCTTGAATCACTGTCACACTGCTTCTCTGCAGTAGTTCTAGTCATAATATAAATATCTAAGTATATAATTGAAATAAATCCCTTTCCTTAAAATAAGGTCATATTTTCCTAGCTAAACAATGGCACTAAAAGTGTTGAAAACCTTTTAGTTTTTTAGTTTTTGCTTGACATTTTATTGATTCTTGTATTACTTTTTCCTGAATAAATAGCGTAATCTTTGAACCATTGCAGTCGGTGCATTTTTAATATTTCAAGTTCAATTAAAATTTAAAAGTGATTGAGTTTATCTGGTGTAGACTGGGCCCGCCAAGTTATCATGCCCAGCCTCAAAACGAGCCAAATATAGGCCAGAACGCCATGCTTGACATAGCCAAAGCTACGCAACATTGACTTATTTCAAATTTAGATACCACGAGGTACATGTTGACATGCCAGTCTGAACCAAAGTCCTACTCCTGATAACCTTGTTTATAGCAAACGGAAATGCAATGTGCACAGCACAACCATGACAACAATGCATAAACTAAAGACTTTTGACTCTTTTTTTGGTGTTGCAAGGCAACTGAGGCATAAAGACCTGAATACAACAATAGCCGAGGATAATTAATACCCTGCAAAACAAAAACCCTAACCCAGATCGAATACGATAAAGCTCGCTACACAAAGCAAGTCCCAATTTTTCCAATATCTCTCTTCGTGTCTCTTTAGTGTCCAATAGTCCTTTTAAAACCAAATATGATTCTGAATAGCATTATTACCTCATCGGCAGGCTTTGGATTTTGTTCCCATGACAACTGAATCACAAATTTCTTGATATCAACAGCCATCTAAAGTAAAATAGAATTGACTTAATTAATCTGAAAACCATACGTCACATGAACAATCGTTGGTATAGGAAATCACACGATCTTCTCGTACTATTCGAAATTTATAGGTACGAGTGAAGTTTTCAAAATTGGAGCCTTTGGGCGAGTACAATTTGAGAACTTTCAAAACACCACGAGTATCTATAAATTCCGAATTGTACAAGGAGATTGTGCGATTTTTTTGTTTATAATACACTCAACAAAATTGAGCAACTTAATTGGGACTCTAATGAGTACAATTTGGGATTTAATTGTACTCCTCTTGTCCAATCAGAATCGAGTAATTTCGTCGAGTGTATAAAAGTTTAAAAACACGTCTCATAATCACCACTCGCCTCTGTATAAAATGTTTTAAAAAAGGCTCACTTGGCTGTGTCGGTTTGAGTTACGGTCCTTTACGATAGCACGCGTCATGGAATCGTGCAGTTTGTCGTCGCGACAAAACAGGTTTTCGACGTCAATTAAAGTGCTACCATGACATTGTATTTCGGCATGTGTCCATGCATCAATGTCATACAACATATTAATTGACATCTAGCAAAACTCGAGAAGATGGAAACGGAAATTCCGTTTGGAAAACAAATGGTATGAATCATTGAGGAAGTTCCGGAAAACTCGGACTTCGATTGAGGTAATCCCCTTTTCTTGCTCTTTTTGGTTTTCCCGATAGACGCGTGTACCATTTGTAGCAAGTCAAAGTTTTCCGCTCTTTTTGGTTCTTCAGGTAGACGCGTGTACCATTTGTAGCAAGTCGAAGTTTCCCGCTCTTTTCGTACAATTAGGGAATGAATTTCTAACCAAGTGGATTGGTTTAAATGGTAAGCGACCCTGCATTTCTTCACTTCCTGTATCCTTACCTTCTGTCCAATATGTCCGATGATCTTAGCAATCTTGTTTAACATGTCTTCATCGGCACTACTAATCACAGTATCTATTGACGTTTTGGCGTGCTTCCCGCTATTTTCACCATGCGCGCGTGTCATGGCGGAAACAACTTGATCTATGCCAAGAATCGTAGGAAGTCTTTCTAACCACAGGCGAATATATTCAATATCATTCAAGGTCACGCAAAGCTACAGGGAAAGGCAATGTTTTGTCAGTCATTACTAAAACCATAGTCAACTATGCTAAAACTCGCTTAGCGCGAAGACCGGAAATGGTCATTAGACTTACAACTGGAAATATATGGAAGACATTTATTCAATTAAGCCCAGGTCAAACGTCGAACTCACACCAGCCGAAACTAATTGAAGCAATGGATAACAAGGTGGCCTTTTTTGATGTCATTAGATTCAGCTTATGTGAATTTCGACGTTTGAGTCTAAGAGTTTGAATAGTGCTGTCTGGGCAAAGAAAATGGCAGACAAAATAAAAAATAATACAAGAAAAGAGATCAACAGTAATGACAATGATTAATAATATTGATAGGATGTTTATAAGAATCATGTATGGTGATAGACTTCACCTGCTCACTGACATCAAACTGTGTTGGGTCGCTATCATAGAAGTCTTCTTTGATCATCTTCTCGAACACCAAGTCAGCATAATATAAAGCATTTACACAAATGATCTGGAGAGATGTCCAGAATAATGTTATGAAAATAAATTGGAACGCGGTCCCAGGAAAAACACCCTCAGCATGGACTGGCCGCTATAAAAAAAATCGGGTGATGTACTTTTATTCTCCTACGCAGCCGCGTAACCGTCAGCGTTTGCGTGACGACACTAATAGCGGCGACTGCATATGAGAGCAGCACTTCAGATAAGATTGTAGTATAATACAGTAAAAATAACTAGGTATCTTTTGTATAACGCCCAACACGAAGAACACGATAAGGCTGTCCTCTCTTTGTCATCTTAATAGGGCCTATTTATAATTTAATAGGCAGTTCACAAGATGGCGTCATTTTACCACCAGTACCAAAATGCTTCGCGAATTTCCTGTCAAAGCAGCTCATTCTGGGGCACAAAACAAAAGAACTCCAATCTCCTGAGAATTGGAACCTATTGTTTTGTCCCCCAGATTGAGCTGCATTCCAATGTGCTGTAAGGGGTCTATTCAAATTTGTATTGGATCATTAGAATAGTAAGACAACTGATTAACTGAAGTAATTGACTGAACAAAAGAATGTGTTCAAGGGATTCTGATATAGAGGATAAATCTTTATCCAGTGAATAATTCGATGCTGTTATCCAATAAATTTATCCATTGGATAAGATTTATCCGTCGGATAGCGCTATCCAGGCTTCGTACAACCGGGCCATGTTGAATAATTTCAAGAAAAATAAAAACGATGACTTCATGATATACCATGGAATTCAGTATGACAGACCCCTCTCCATCATATTTTCTTCTAAAAGCGGGAATTCTGTTGTTGCTGCTTACCATCACGTATACAACTAATTGAAAAAACGTTGTCAGGTTCAAAAARAAAAAAGGTTATATCATCAAGCTAAGACCGAAGGGGAGCATGGGAAGACAAATAATTATGCTAATTTCATGCGTATTGCAGTTTTCCCTTCCTGTGCACATTTTATGCATCATGGCTTTGGCATGTTTGTTAATCTAGGTCTACCTACTTTGCTCTACTGTGCATTTTTACATGTCTATATGCAAATATAATACACATTTCGGAGTACCCAAAACGCTTTTCGGTCTTAGCTTCGATGATATGACCTTCTCGAACCTGAATACGGTTTTTCAATTAAGTGTATACAGTTCTAATCATATACCTACGTTGATCAATTGGGTAACGAACATATAGGAACAGCCGACATCAGGCCAGTCAAGGTTCTTCCAAAATTCAAGAATCTATGCAAGGAACAGTAAGTTAAATATATTTATCAACCTTTTCTATTAAAAAGAAGTCGAAGAAGCTAAATGAAATCTATCAATTGATATTAGATAAGAATGTGTGGCAGTGATACCACAACAGTTTTCGCCAATAGTCCCTTTCACAGTTCCCTGTGCCATCTTGAAAGGTAGCCGTGCCTTTGCATCGAAGCGGGACGAACGGTGAGCTTGCAATGATAGAGACTTTTTTTAACACCTTGGTCAATTATTCACATGTCTCTATCATTGTAAGCTCACCTTCGTCTCGCTTCGATGCAAAGGCACGGCTACCTTTCAAGATGACACAGGGAACTGTAAAGGGGACTATTACAATACTTGTAGCTGTTAATATTCCAAGAGTAGACAAAAACTATCTTTTCTTTTTTATAACACTGAGAAACTTTCTTATGACAACAAGGTCTACCATCATTTCAAAGTCCGGGAATAGACCTTTATTATACGGCAGCCATGTTGACAAGAACAATAGATTTCTCCCACATGGCTTACATGGCTTCTCATTCAAGCGCTTCAGGGTGCTGTTACGCGTGGTTAAACAAAGGTTTTCTTATTTTCATGAGATCAACCACAGCGACACCATTCCCCCTTATAACCCTCGTCAATTGCCCTATTTCATAATGACGTCACATCAAAACCAACTATTGTTTTAACGCTAGGGATCATCGTCGCTGGAGGGGGACGGAATGACAACAACACATCTTAAATCACAATAAAATTTGGTTTATGWGCTGGTGAAGGCAAGAACAACTAAATATTACGTTAAATATCTCGAAAGAAGAGAATTAAGCTTAAATTTAGTCTAAATTTCCATCATTTTAGCCGATGTAAACAAACCATGACGTCATTATGGAATAGGGCAATTGGTCGTTGATCGTTTACCTGATGGAAACACCCTACTGTATCTACAGCAGACGTTGAATGCATGACACTTGGATCTACACGTAAGAACTAGAAGAGAAAAGCATTAAAAATTAGTGCAGAAAAAGTACTTCAAGAAACGAAGGAAACATATTACCACGAGTTCATCGACAGGCCCAGTAAATAATATCAAAGCCAGCAAAAATATATAACATTATTATTAACGGCAAGTTCTTCAATAAAATAATCATAAAGATAAAATTAATATATCTTCGTTAAGAGTAACAACAAGACATCCGCTTAATAACTGAATAGTAACACTTCATCAAATCATCATCATCGTCATCTACGATTCCTCTTCAACAACAAGATCACTTCGACTGTTTTTATGACGCATTCAGGGGCGGATCCAGGATTTTGTTCAGGGAGGGGTGCAGCGCACAAAGTTAACCCAGGGAGGGGTGCACCCCTTAGAATCAAAGGGAACTTGAAATATTATTTTGCATTGGTTATCTTCGAAGTAGGGGCACCCCCTGTACCCCTCCCCTGGATCCGCCACAGGCATTGATGATGAAGGTGCATTTCACTTTGTTTATTTTATAGATAAAAATTTGAATAAGACAAGCATGCCACGCACAACAAAGCCTTACTTTACAGCAATGGCGTACGTACCTTATCAATAGCAATAGCTTTAGCAATACGATCCTTGGCTTTGCTTTGAGCAATGTCAAGCCATCTGACTACAGCGCTCTTGAACCAAAGGTGGAAATCATCGAAGCCATGAACTTGATTGTCACTAATATAAAAGTTAATTCAAATTAAATAACTGAAATGAGATAATAAGCCTATCAAAAAGCATAAAACCTTAGGTTTTTTTAAAATAAATACCCTGAAACATGCATCCTCTCGGCTAACCAAAGTCAGGGCAGGGGTAATTCACAGATCAAACCCTGGGAAACAACCCTGGGCTGATTAAAGTCAGGGCACGCCACTGAACTACCTCACAAATCTGCCTGTCGTTAGATAGCAGAACAATAAAATCCCTTTGCTCATGGAAATTGAATTATTTCTGGGCTGATTAAAAAACAGGGCACGACTAACTCACAAATCGAATTCCGAGACACTCTCTGGGGATTGGGCTGATCAAAGTCATAACTCATATTCGGACTGAAATAGATTAGTGACATTACAGTACTTCAAGCTCAAGTTTTTAAATCTTCATGTTGAATGAATTTTTAAACTTTTTGCCATTACTACACTCTCTTTTGTCATATCAATCATCATGGCTACCACGTTTTTTTGACCAGCAATACTTATTCCTTCGAATATGTTTGCTATCAATGCTAGGAAAGTCAAAGCATACAGTTGTGTCATTTCATTGCGTATACTGTGTTTTACACTCACCTTGTTTTAACATGTTCTCGGTAAGACATCAATTCTCGAATGGCCAAGTACAGAGCAAAGAGCTTTTCACCAACGACATCTTGTTGATCATCAGCACTTTGTCTGATACTTTGCTTCACCGATTCCATAAGCAGCCTTACATCGTTTGCCAACTAAACCAGTTAAAGATGACACTATTACTTGCTATGATTGTTAAAGAGTATTATTAAATTAGTTTTAGGCTAATTTTAGTTAGCCTCGTAGTTAATGGAGTGGAATGGTTGGGAAACCTCTTGTTCCAGGTTTTTGTTCGACTTTATAAATTGTTTTATTTTTTTCCGGTCCGGTATCCTAAACAATCGTGCGTTCTGATTGGCTGTTTGAGCGGGCGGTATTTTGTCAGGATCTGCCCGCGCGCGCGGTCCGGTATCCTTTGCCGCTAAACGACAAAACAAAACGATTGCAAAAACAAGTAAAAAAAAATACGGGAAAAAAATAAATAAGTTATTTACCGTCCTATAGTCGGTCCGGATAGGGAAAAACTGTGCCCTCGGTCCTCGTATATTCAAGACCTTGGGCACAGTTTTTCCCTATCCGGACCGACTATAGGACAGTAAATAACATATATATATATGACGTTGACAGTGCACAGAGAAGGAAAAGTTGCTCCGTTTGTTCACAGTATTAGGGAATATAAAAGTTTTTTCCCCTAAAAAACGTTCGATAGTTATTATTTGTTAATTAATCTTATATGATTAATATTGTTTATTGAAAAGGAAAATTGTCCTTTTTAATGCTTTCTTATTTATCATCTAGTAACTTAACTGTATCTGCGCGGAAATATTTATCCGCATAGTTTGTGGTCATCGAATGAAAGTTTTCACTTTCAAAATGTTCATACATGAAAATAATAAGGAAAATGAGTATTTTTATGATACTATGCAACCTCAAACGCAAAACAATAGCTTTGTTCTATGGAGTTTCCGAACCATTCCACTACATTAACTATGGTTAGCTTCATTGCCTGGAGTAGGCCACGTCCGATATCTTAAAATCCAGCCTTGATTGCGAGGCTTTAGTCGTATGGTACTGCATGTAGTATTGTATAAACACGTGGATCACTAAATACTTTAATTGGTTACGACTTTCCTACTTTTCGGCAATAATGAAGAAAATGTTGGTAGAAATGATAGTAATTTAAACGTTTTAAAAGTGTTTTTATCAATAGAAGCCTACTTAATTTTAGATAATTTTTAAATATTGTGTAATGTAGATATATAGAGAATAATACATGGTCACGCGGAGATATGGAAGTTATCTTCGAGTGTTCAATTTGATATCTCACGAGTGAGCGCAGCGAACGAGTAAGATATTAATTTTGAACACGAGAAGATAACTTCCATATCTCCAAGCGGCCATGTATTTTTCTGTTTATTATATAAACCATAGCACTGTATTTTTTTCAAAACGATTGAATTTTATTGTAGAAAACATCCCAAATACAAAGTTCAATTCGACATAAAACCGACAATTTATAAATACAGTCTCTAATRAACAAACCCAAATCAAGTTCAACTCTAGACTGTCCACTCTCGTAGGGTTGTTGATTCATATTCCTCACCGTTTTTCTTTCTGACTGATAGCAAAAGTCTGGACAAATACCAGTCGAGTTCTTGAAGGGAAATCTCTTCAAACGAGAAATAACTGAATAAGCGACAGGTCGTTCTTTGTCTTTTTTTGGTGTTTGCATTTTCCTCCTCCTCGATAAAATCTATGACGTTTTCTAAATCAAATGTGACAAACCTTTCAGCCATGTTTTTGAACTTAATTTTCGATAATTTTAACAAAATTATCGATCGAGTGAGCAATCTTTGCAACCACATACGAGACAAAGCTGCCGACCGTTGTGATTCTCCCGCGCCTGTGAGAGCAATGACGTTACAGAATACTGAAAACTGATTGGTTATAATTTTACATGTGAAAATTATCGTATTTTTACATGTGTTGAAATACGAAATTTCTCAGTTGTTAAATCTTTGTAAACAACTATAGTTTATATAATAAATATATTTATTATATAATTACCAATGAAATATCTGTTTTTCTCTATTTCGAAAAATTGATATCTTCACACGTGAAAATAACATGTTATTTTCACGTGTGAAGATAACACCATTGCGATGACTATTCAAAAATACACGGAAATAATTGCCTGAAAAAGCCAAAACATACTCCATTGATAATTATATAATAAACAGAATATTACATGGGCGCTTGGAGATACGAAATTTATCTTCTCGTGTTGAAAATCTCTCACTCGTTCGCTGCGCTCACTTGTGAGAGATCTTTTCAACACTCGAAGATAAATTTCGTATCTCCGCGCGCCCATGTAATATCCTCTATATATTAATTTTGATATTATTAGTTTATATCAATATAAATTTCATTTTAAGTTTTGTAAACTGAAAACGTCTGTTGTTCAGTATTATTCCTTGTGTATAAATAAAGACTATTATTATTAATTTCACTACTCAAGTTCTGTATTGTATCTTCTTATAAAGACGATTTTTTAAAAAAGATGGAACAAAATGATGACTTTCTCTATAAAGCACAATAACAATAGCAACATTCTAACATGTAGTAACACAAACCATGAGTTCCAGCTGACAATAGGTTAAGGAAAAGTAGTTAACTCCAACTCTGAAAGCAAGATCAAATATAGAAGGTAATATAACACATAATATAAAGGGTGGAACTCACTCACCAGTGACATAACTTGTCACTACTGATCAAATCCAATCTAAAAGAACTAAATCTCTACCTATCCTTGAATAACAATAGATAAATCTATATCGTTGCTAACTATCTCAATGTATGCACTGTATCATGTATTGTTATATATCATTAGATATTTAGGATAGTACACGCGCGCTGATTGGTCGTAAACTGTGCTATTATTGAACGGAGCACAGTGCTGACGCCATCTGCGCGAGCGAAGTGCTGCTAGATCCTGATGCGACCGCCTTCCTTTTTGCGTAAATAAATTCAATACCGAGAAATATTAGTAGCTATATAATAAAACTTATAAAACAGCTTTTTACGTGCTCCGTTCAATAGTAAAGCACTTAGGAAGCGCGGTAAGCACTCGCCTATGGTCGTTCTTCTCCTTACACATGCTTCTTTCGTGCTTACGTCACTACCTGCGTGCTTTATTACTGAACGGAGCACGGAAAAAGCTGTTTTATTTGTTAAATATCTTTCTACTCTTTTGTATTTATCACTGTGCTTGTAAAAATCTTTAATTTAACTCTTGTTGACAATATCTATATATTTATGCTTTTGTTATTTCGCTTAACCGCCAATATGTAAGAAGTATGTTTTTATAGACTCTTATCAATTACAGAAGGAAACTCTCTGCTTTCATAAGCCTGATCGTTTCAGGAGGTCCCCTTGCCATTTGTAAATTTCGTATAAAATCTATACTGAAAATCTATAAAGAAATATGGTGAAATAAATAAATGAATAACATGCAAAGATTTGCATTTGACTTTGATTAGTACTACAAGTTATTAAAAAAAAAAAAATTCTTCGTGTAGACACTTTTAAAATTCCTGAAACACTACCGTAAATTTAGTTTCAACTAAATATAAATAGTATAAAGAAGCCTGCGTAGCCTGCGCATTGGGTTGGGGAACCCCACAGATATTCCAACAACCCCCCCCCCCCCCCCCCCCCCCCCCCCCCCCCCCCCCCCCCCCCTATGCAACTCCTCACCCTTTTGGCCCACTACACAGGCAACAACATAGCGGAATATCCTCTGACCCGCAGTATAGGGTGACACCCGTGTGCTTGTCTACTTACATGAAAAAAACCTTATTGTAGAATTTCAATGCTCTTAGGAAGTCTGTCAGTACACATTCAGCGAGTCGTATCATACTCGACAGCTTTGCATCGTATGACTGTAAAAACAATGCAGACAATGAAGAAAGATTTCTCATTATTATTAGTATTAGTATAAAACCAATAGACTTTCCATTTAGCTGATTCTGGCATTAGATACATTGTCAAATAATCTTTACTGGGCCATTGAGTCTTATTTTCGAGTAAACACAAAAATAAGTCTATCGTTTCTAATTGTTTTCCATATGGAAACTAAGCCTTAGAGTCATAGGTTATAGGGTAGAGCCATGATCGAATTGACTAACATGGCGCCTTTTCTTTCTTTCCACGTTGATCATCGCATTATTTTTTAAACTTTTACAATGAGGACACTCTAACCATGAACACTTTGTGCTTTTTTACTACTTTTTTAACATGCATCCCTTGAGTGAATCATTTAGAAATAAGTTGTTTATTGATCACACAGCATGTTTGAGTTCAATCCTACTTTTTTAGAGGGTTTGAAGCAGTAAAAAGCTCAGAAAATAAAAATCTGAATAAAGTCAAGTGTTCATGGTTCAAGTGTCTTCACTGTAACTAAAGAGAATTGTATTTAAAGTGCACCTATTGATTCTACATAAAGTGAATGTTGCGTCTTTAAGTTATGAAGGTTTATACTTCCAATATGTTACTGACTGTGACGTCAACCCAGGCTTCATTAAATATACAAATTTTGACTGGTTCATACAAACAGTTTTTAAAAAGAATCACTATTATACTCAAGGTTTCCACAATGTTTATTGTAAATCTGATGTCTCATAATGACTAGTGTTTAGTATTAAAAATTAAAACAAATACACTTAAAAGCCTGGGGTGACGTCACAGTCAGCAATGTAATGGAAGTAAGAAATATTTCATCATTCAACTATTCAATTTATGTAGAATTAATACTGAAAGTATTGTATGGGGGTTAGGTGCACTTTAAATTGGCTAAGGGTGTAACGGCTTGTATGAACTTAGTCTACACTGATAAACATAGTCATTACATACGGATTCTTGAGGCTCATTCCAAGCATGGATCTTATTGTACCAGATGGAAGCCGATTCCTACAATATAATCACTGCCACTTTTAGTAAACTAATTACTATATTGAAATATAAAAAAACTAGCGAGTAAAATAGATTTAGTTGATATGAGTAACTTGAACGGCGTGCATTTTTAATAAAAAGGTATACTTCAAAACTGTTAAATTAGCTCACGCTGTTCAAGTTATAACTATTCCCATCATTAATTGCTCTACTGGTAAAGACGTTTCATGAGAACATTACCATGACCCGGCCCCATTCGAACATCCATGACCCCCCTCTCAACATGTATGCCATGACTCCCCTTTCTTACGATAATAAAAAATAATTAATCAAGGTAATTAGTTGCGTAACATGGATGGCTTAGTATTTTACTGCTTCAGTGTCTCTTGTCTCCCACCTCTTTGGTCCAGGTTCGAGCCCCGGCTCAGACTGGATCATATGTACGTTGATTTTGTTTGATGTGTTGTTGTTGTGTCTTACCTTGATGATACTAGCAAGGGTTTGAGACAAAGGTTCGTTTTGTTGTTGTTGTGTCTTACCTTGATGATACTAGCAAGGGTTTGATACAAAGGTTCGTGGTATTGTTGTTGTGTCTTACCTTGATGATACTAGCAAGGNTGATGATACTAGCAAGGGTTTGATACAAAGGTTCGTGGTATTGTTGTTGTGTCTTACCTTGATGATACTAGCAAGGGTTTGATACAAAGGTTCGTTGTGTTGTTGTTGTTGCGTCTTACCTTGATGATACTAGCAAGGGTTTGAGACAAAGGTTCTTTGTGTTGTTGTTGCGTCTTACCTTGATGATACTAGCAAGGGTTTGATACAAAGGTTCGTGGTATTCTTGTTGCGTCTTACCTTGAAGATACTAGCAAGGGTTTGATACAAAGGTTCGTGGTGTTGTTGTTGTGTCTTACCTTGATGATACTAACAAGGGTTTGAGACAAAGGTTCGTGGTTGTCTTCTTGATAGACATCCATTTCGCAGACAGCCTGCAAACACCTATCACAGATTATACAAAAATAGAATGACAGTAAATGTTTTAAAACTTTCCTTCGTTCTTCATTTGAGCCTGGTTCACACGTGAAACGCAAGCAAATTAAGATACGCAAGCGCAGTTAAGATACTACAATCTTGGACAAAAATGTTGAGAATTTTTTATTTTGAATGAATTTTTTCATGTCCAATATTTAAAAATCCCTTAAAACGACCCCCTCCCCCCTAAACAATGTTGTTTCCATGGAGATAGGACTGCTCTATCTTATGGGGCCAACATTGTCCTGGGAGAGGGGTACGATCAACCAAAACAATTTTATGAAGTGAAATTTTGCTATTTAATGATGAGATGAAATTTCCTCAACCATTTTTGTCTAAGATTGTAGCTTGCATGTTTAGATCAAAAAGATTTTTGGTCTTGCGTTTGCGTTACTGTAGTTCACAGTTACTTCTGCTTGCGTTTTCCCGGTTCATTCGTTAAAAACGCAAGCACAAGACAATGACAACGTTTCCATTCCTTGCGTTTGCGTTCGCGTTGCTGTAATTCACACGTTATTTTGTTTGCGTTGCTCGTGTAAATCAGGCTTTAGCTTTTACTAATACGACGTCCGGGAAATATATGAGCAAACGACGCTTGTTGACAATTATTTCTCTCCCCCCTCCCCCCCCTCCCCCCCCCAAGCGAACCAATAAAAACTCGTAATCTCCGAGTATAAACAAAAACTAATTTGACAGATGAAGATGGCTCTGATGATAATGGAATAAATGAAAAAAAAATGTTTTTTTCTCCAAGTTCTCAAAAATCATTGCCCATCACTGCCGTACTTACTCTACGAGGTTAACGAGCCTGCCAAATCTTGCATTGTCAATAGGTGGATACAAGTCACGATGTTTGATAAGTAGCTGAAGGCAGTTATTTACGAATAATCGTAAGCTCTTGAGTAAGGAACGCTCCTGTAAACAAAGAAGCTAGATTACATTAGCACACCAAGCCAAACCAGAAATATATTGAATCAGTCTAAGAAAGAAGCGAGCGAGCAAATGATTTGATTCTTGTCACATTGTATTACTACAAGGTATCATAACGTCTCTTTTGGTGTAATGCTTTCCCATTACCAGGCCACGTGTCATTCGTGTCATTCTCTTAAGAATGAATCCTTGTTTGAGTTGTATTCATTTTCATGTGTCTTCTCGTGTGCAACCGTTAAACAAAGAGATTATACTCTAGGAAATGACGCGTGGTCTAGATCTATAAAAAGAAAACACTGCACGCCACGAATAACGTTCATTCTTCGGGGTTCCGATAGGCGTTACTATTAATTATTGGTGGATTTTGAAATTTTACTTTAAGATTGTGAGAAAAAATTGAAATTATTGCTACAAACTGTTTCATATATTTGTATTATTATATTTGTTTTATTGCGAAAGTTTTCATAAGTTCTTCACTAACGACAACCCAAGGCCTAACCTCTCTTTCTGACAGTTTTCCAGGTTTCCAATGTTTGCTGACATCTTGAGCCAGCGAGCACAGCGTGTCGTATTGAATTGGATTTTCCCAGTGAAGCTGAGAAAGAAATCTCCATCGCCTGAAGCCATACGTAGACAAATGAAGTAAGAATAAACAGTAAGCATCGTTGTTTCCAGACAAAAAAATAAACAGATAAGACAATAAATCCAATCAAACTACAAAATATTTTTATTATAATACACTCAACCAAATTACTCGATCCTGAATGGACAAGAGGGGTACAATTATATCCCAAATTGTACTCTGTAGAGTCCCAATTAAGTTGCTCATTTTTTTGAGTGTATATATAAACAAAAAATCGCAGAATGTTCTCGTATAATTCTGAATTTATAGAAGGCTCGTCCAATTTTGAAAACTTTCCAAAACATCACTCGTACCTATAAATTCCGAATTGTACACGAAATCGTGCGATTTCCTATACAAAATTGGATTAGATAATTGAATTTACAATGCACTTACATTGCAGCCTCTTGAAGAGGTGTTAGATCATTCTGTATTGCAAGCTGATGTAGAATAAAGTGTGCATGACTTGATAATTGACCTTCCCACTTTTGCTCTTCCATCTTTGGAAACAACACACCACGATGAGGAAATAATTCTAGCAGCAAGGCTAGATATCTATTCAAATATTTTTATATCGTACCCATCAACTAAAACGTGATAATAATAATAATAATAATAATATGATAACGGGATGCTCTTATATAGCGCATTTCAGTTTATAGAGGACATTACGGGCTGCATATTAAGGCGCTATTAGCAGCCATGCAGGTAGGTAAGTGAACTAAATTAGTACGTAATTAGTCAAGGATGGGATTGAGAAGAGAGGAGAGGTCACTGATGAGAGGCAAGTGACATAAAAGCAGTCTGACCAAGGACGCCAGGACATGCAGACGGATTGGGTTTTAAATATGTGTGTTCAGTTATTCGTAGATTTCTAATTGAATTGATATATGTTTGTTTCTAAATGGATACTAAATAGTGTTCACTTATCTTTCCATCCAACGGTCTTTCTGGTTCGAATCAGCCGTACGATATGAATATATTTTTCCACGTCCACCAACGGTCTTTCTGGTTTGAATCAGCTGTACGTACGCTCCGAATATTTACCGCTGCACTATCCGTGCCAAGCAGCGCCGGCGTCGCTTTGTTAGCGATTACTCTTCTTTAATAAGTTAATCAAATTTACCTTCAGTACAGTAAAATAGACCGGGGTACGGTCTCAGAGCGTACGTACAGCTGATTCAAACCAGAAAGACCGTTGGATGGAAAGATAAGTGAACACTATTTAGTATCCATTTAGAAACAAACATATGTCAATTCATTTAGAAATCTACGAATAACTGAAGCAATCACACATATTTAAAACCCAATCCGTCTGTCCTGGCGCCCTTGGTCTGACCTTGCTATTTTGTGGCGGTTTCATGTGATAGCTGGCATCATTTTTATTAACGAACTCCTTATTTACTATGTTCTCAGTTTCAAAGAAACAGTGAACTCCCGCTTTGTAATTTCTAAGTTTGGAGGAAAACTGAAGAAACTGACCCACATATAGAGACAAGAAAGTTACTTCATGGCTGTGGGGTTCTAACTGAACCCACGCTGTCCCTTAGAAAGAAAGAACATACGAGATACAGGCACGAGTGCTAAAATAGCTTCATCGACTGTCCCAGGTCGCCGCCACTGATAGCGATATTACATGGGTAACATTAGCAAAGCTAGAATGAAATGTTGCTGCGACTGATGGCGACATTGGGTAACACTTCTCTCCCTTTTCCACGCTTACTCGGCTCCAATCTACGCGCGTCCGCAAGAATCCCAAAACACTCGCCCTTACTGAGTTTGGGGGGAAAATTTGGACCACTCGCAGTCTATGCTGAAACCTCTAGCAATATCAGGCGGTATATCAAGTGACATTAGGAGGCCTGCACATGCCTTTAGCCCTGCATGTTATAGTGTTGATCTAAGAATCGAACGGTATTTATACACAGCTATACACAACCAAGTTGATTTGGTCTTGAAATAACCGTCAATAATTACCACTCCTTTGCTATTTGACACCAAACTAACATCTAGAGCTCCCAGCAAACCCCAGAAAAGCTAGAATTACGAATGTTTACCATTTTGGCTTGGTCCAGGTCATAAGCTGCAAACTCATGTAACAGTGCTCCATAGACGTCAGAGAATGTTGGGTACATGGACAGAACTTCTTGTGGAAGATCAGGACGCTAAAAACAAAGAAAAGGCCCATTCAAAGTTAAAGTGCCTATCAATATTTTCAGCATTGATTCTACATGAAGTAAATAGTTGAATGATAAAATATTTTTACATGACTTGAGTGATACATCATGGAGATATCAAGGTTTATACTTCAAATATGTTAATGATCTAACGTCAAAGAAGGCATATATCGATATCAATATCCCAAAAATGCATCACTCAAATCATGTAAAAATACTGTACCATTCAACTATTTACTACATGTAGAATCAGTGCAGAAAATATTAATTCAGGTGTCATAGGCACTTTAATTTGTTTTGTTACTCAGTAGTAGGGAGGTGAAGCTTGTAGCTTCTTCCAAAAAATGTGCATCATCCCCATTTTTCTGATAAAAATCTGCCCATCCCCCCTTTTTTCCTTTTTCCTACCAAAAATTCCCCGATCCCCCCTCNCCCCCCCCCCCTCTGCCATACAATATGAATGAAGCCTTAGATTTTTTTGTTTTGTTTTCAAAGCCTGCTCTTTTCGCTATTTTGCTTTTAGACTTATGCAGGTTATCTGGTGCATTGTTTGCATCTACTCTGTTTCCCCAGGCCTTGCTTTGTTGGGATAATAAGACAATTGTATATGCTTACATTGCCTGATGACAGAGAGACTTTGACATGACAATCACCACTAACACGGCACTTTGAAGACTTGGATTTTAGTTTAACCCACTCATCAAGGCCATCGCTTGGAATATCCTTTAACAATAGTACATGCAAAATACGTTACATTTAGTTGACATTAATATATGAACAAGAGAAAATGGACTAGGAGAAGGAATCTCTGGTATACATGCTTGTAACCATCATAGGCACCGCTTGAATCTATTTTCATAATCACATTTGCCATCGTTTGCTTTTCTGCACGCGCATACTGCACGCATACTGTACGCATACTGCACGCACACTGTACGCATACTGCACGCATACTGTACGCATACTGCACGCATACTGTACGCATACTGCACGCATACTGTACGCATACTGTACGCATATTGCACGCATACTGCACGCATACTGTACGCATACTGTACGCATACTGTACGCATACTGTACGCATACTGTACGCATACTGCACGCATACTGCACGCATACTGCACGCATACTGCACGCATACTGCACGCATACTGTACGCATACTGTACGCATATTGCACGCATACTGCACGCATACTGCATGCATACTGCAAGCATACTGAACGCAAATTGCTTGCAATATGCGTATGCCGAAAACGAAAGTTCAAATTAAAAATTCTAAAAATAGCATCAAAGTGATGAAAATTGAAAACAAAGTGACGAAATTCGAAAAACATGAACAAGAAAAGCTTTAACTACTTTCCGATGCATTTTCTCTGATTAGGACCAGACCAATTACAATAACTCTATATACGCGTTTCCCGACTACCTAGTCTATTTTTCAACGCGAAAAACACAGAATTTCAAATATTGATCTCCTAGTTCTTTATTATATACTCTAAATACTAGGGAGGGAGACTATCTAGTTATAGTTCGTCCGTCAGGGCCCGTTTGTGCTAAGGGTTGATAGCGCTATCCGACAGATAAATTCATTTCCGTTGGATAAGTCGATGCTGTTATACATTAAATTTATCCACTGGATAAGATTTATCCGTCGGATGACGCTATCCACCCTTCGTACAACCGGACCCTGATGGCTAGCTCGCGCTTATTTCTGTTAAAAATGTACCTTAACTCGGTATTCCAAATATCCAAGAAAATCATCTGTGCTTTCATTTTCGGTTGCTCTTGCTGACTGAACCACATCCTTGAAATATCTGCATATACAGAAAAAAGGCATAAAATCCTTATGGGCAGTCGTTCAAAAAACACAGTGCAGCTCCTCGGAAGAGAAAAATAAACGAGAACGTCTTATAATGATATATATACAGTCCTTTGACTAAACGTTGTCGTTGATCGGATCATCCCTACGCGCCTAGACGGAAAAGGATAACGGCTAAATTACTCAGAACATGTATCATCCAAACTGCTCGCCAGCGTTAAATCTTCGCCGTATGCTCGAGGCATGGTTTTAGCAAATTCAATGGGATCGAAAACAGCGAGCTCAAGACGTGTTAGATAACATATGCGGCAGCTAGTATCTGTGAATTAATTATCCCCATGATCCTTTTCTGTCTAGGCGCGTAGGGATGAAGCCGATCAAACGACAACTTTTAGTCAAAGGACTGTATGGATCAAGACTGATGTACCTTCCGACACCATGAAAACCTTTGATTTTTGTAACTTTATTATCTTGATCTGACAACATCTCCTTATCGTCACAATCCCTGCAAAGAATGAAAAATACAGAGTCATGTGAACGCTAATGCAATTAACGAAACACAAGAGAAATGCCGCCTTGGGAGGATCTAAACGCCCATGCTTTTCTTATCAAACGTTGTTGCTGTGGGCTCCCTGTGCACATACAAAACCAGATTCCTTTGGGTTTTTCTTTGAAGAAGTCATATGGCCCACAATAGTCCCTATTACAGTTCCCTGCGCCAAATAGGCGGGTTTGCACTAAGAGATCACGTGATCAAATCGGCCATTGTGGTTGGCATTCTACAGGATTTTAGCCATGCGAGAATGTAAAAAAGATGGCGGATACGGGTAGTTTTTTGGTTATAAAAGGTAAGTTATCGCACTAAATAATGATAAAAATCCCCTTGTCTTGCGAGAAATATATTCTTAGTAGATATCTGAAGTATAATTTTAAAAAATGGTATTTTTTTGCGCTACGATGTGAAGACCTACAAGTGTTTAGTCCTGTTTTAGTCCGGTTACATGACCTCAAAACATACCCTATTTTTCCTCTGCCTGAATAGCAAAAATCTACTTAAGGTATCTATTAAAAGTATATTTCTTGCAACAAAAATGCATTTTTCAAGAATGAAGTTGAAAAATACTTGAATTTTTTCGACAAGAAGTCGTTGTTTTGAGGTCATGAAGTCAGTCAATAAAGTTCCAGCAATTTTCGCAATGTCTTCTACATAATGAATAAGGTCAGGGCCCCACAGCGGCTACCACGCAACGGGTGCCGCACTTTTCACCAGAGACAGAACGTTCCATGGCAAAGGTTGCCTTTCAACAAAATCGAGAAGAATGAATATAATGCGTTTAAACGCGTGTTCTTAACATCAAGCTTCTTACCAAATATCGATGTGTAGAACGTCCATAGACACGTTATTTACCTCCCTGAAAATCACAATTCATTGCAAATATTATCATCTATTCGTAATCGTCGATCCTACTGTGTTATTTTGCCTTCATGTAAAAAACACACAAAAGTTGTTGCATCTGCACATGCGCATGACGTCATTGCTCCATTCTCATGTCTGACAAATGACCTCTAGGTTACTAACTCTTGTACCTCATACACACTCAAATGACAGTCCGAATGAAAGTTCACACTTGTGATGAATTAACCGAAAAATACATTATTAAAGCAAGTATTAATTGTTAACGAGGAAAAATCATAAAAAATAAGCAAGTTCATTTGAAATTAAAGACGAGTTTTTCATTTTCTCAAAAGTGGAATGCCTTGCCCTTTGTCATTCACTTTGGTATCAGGATGACTCTTTTAATGCTTTTGAATTCAAAAGCTATTGTCTATGTTTTGCAATTACAACCACTTAAAATCAAACTCCAGACTAACAAACATCTAAGACTCCTTTTTAGTCGACATAGCGGAAATTCTGATCCTGCGGGAAGATGACAATGAAGGTGCGGTGGAATGGTACTTTGAACCCCATAGTTTTTTGTTGTTTTTTTTGTTTTTTTGATAATTCTTGCGAGGTTTCAAAAACTACGTTTATTTAGCCTCCAGAAAAGTGTATGTTTTTATAGCAAACATTGTCAGTAAAGTCCGTGCAAAATATGAGGTAGCGCGGATAGGGGTCCAAATCCCCTCCTGATACCTTAAAACAACCTAAAAAGGAACACCGTTAGAGCAGATTTGGTATGATGAGTGAGAAACATAAGGCACCGTTCAACCTACTATCTATATGCTTTCATACTAACAGATGAATTTGATTGAGAGTCATGCGCTCTCTCGTTTTTTGATAGCCCAGCCGGAAGGTACGAAGTAAGTTCCCTAATCACATGAAATTCGCTCTAAACCATTAGCTAGTGATCTTACATTGTAAAGGTCTCGTTCCATTCAGGATTCAAAGTGTTCTCTCTCACAGTAGTCATCTGAATTGCTTCATTTTTAAGTAATTCTCTTAAAGTTCTTGATTTCTTTAGCTTCTTTCCTGCGTTGCCCTTTTTCGCTTCTATTTCTGCACTGTCAGACATCAAACCGATCATACAGTACGGATCACTTAAACCATTTGCGTCCTTGGCTTCCAAATTTCGAGCTTCGATGACTAAAAAGTTCAAGCACAATTATTTTCACATTATATTGAAAAAAAGGATCAAATTATATGATTTAAAAAAAAGAAAAGGATATCGTAGAAGGCCTGTTACAAGTCCCCGCGCGGTTACAAGCCCACTTACCCGTTTGTTAATAGTTATAATCTCTCCCCCCCCCCCTCCCCCGGTGGAATACCGCCTGAGCACATTTGAGTTTCTAAGGTTTTACAGTTATATTAATGCATGAACACTATTGTTTATTTGAATTGAACATTCGTTTAAATAGCCTCTTGCACGCTACGTCAGCTTAATTTGGAGGACAAAACAAAAAAACAAAAACAAAAAACAAAAACAAAAAATCAATCAAAATTCAAAAAAATCTACTGCGAATTGGTAACCTATCGTTATGTACTCCAAAATTGAGCTGCATTCTGGCGTGTTGCGAGGGGACTATAGTCTGAAGCCCCCTTTCCCCTACCCCCCCCCCCCCCCTCCAAACCCGCGATTATTAGCCAACTCTAAAAACCCTTACGAAATTCTATAAGCAGGATAACGTACCTCCAACTTTTAAGTAAAATCTTGGAGTCTGCAATTATAAGTTTGTGTAACAAGACAAATCTTAACAGATAACTCATTACTTAGCAACAACAGCAACTCRTGTTATGCACACGGCAAGGCTAAGCTAAGACACATGAGGTACATGACATCGCGGGTCATCCGATCCAACGAAATGGCAAGATATCCTTAACATATACATTCAGAATTAATGTAAGTTGTAATACAGGAAAATTACGTACGGATTGTAGGGATGTTAATTGCAAAAAATGTTAATTAACAGCATGATTTGGCGGGAACATTTGGTAGTTGTGTTCAGTGCAATTATATATCATAGTGAAAAATAATAAAGAATGTAAGCAACCTCTCTGTCCTTTGTCTTGGCATACAACTCTTTGTGTTTCTCCTGAGAAATCTTCAAAACCTAAACAAGAGACGTGCATAGAGTGAAGTCATTTAACACGCGAAAAAGAGATTAGACTAATACACAGTAGTAGACCGTAGTTCCACTGTTTTCTTTTGTGTCTATTTGATGTTTTCTAGAATTGAACTTTTTTTGCGCAATGTAGCAGTGCCGTGACTATGGAGTGACTGTGTTCGCGCCAGGATGGTGCCGTGTTGCGGGCACTTGTTTCGTGCCGTTTTTAAAGGAGCACTTGGATGAAAATTAATAAAAATTGAAAATGACTGGAAACTTGTTTAAACTTATCTATATGGCCCAGATAGTAGCCAAGCAACATGTTCCCTTCACAGTCAAAAGTGGCGGGAAAAAAATCAACTTTATTCAGCATCTAAATTGTAAGTAAATGACGTCATTTACTCAACCCTATTGTTCTTTTCGCTTTTAACCCAAGATTTCTCAACTGCAAGTGGCTCCCAGGCTAAAATTTTCACTAATCAGATTTTCATAATTATAATTGACTCATATTAGCCTCAAATACTTCAATTATTCGGACTTTCATCCAAGTGCCCCTTTAACTTTGCGTGTTTTTTTTAGTCTGCCTTATGTGTCTGCTTTTTCTTCTTGCTCATTCACTTATTTTGTTTTGTACTTCAACTTTTTAAATTCAATTTCCTTTTGACCTAACCATTAAACTCGATTAGCTCTGCTATTTCTAAATGGCTGGTGCCCACCCACATATTCTTACTCTCTTCCCTAATTAAAGCTATAATATAAATTTAAGTAGTGCTAAATAAAGATGTTGTTGTTGTTGTTGTTGTTGTTGTTGTTGTTGTGAGCTGCTCACGGTCATACGTAAACTGCTGTAGATTTGTTTTGCAGGCCGAGTGCATATCATATTTTTCTGTCACTCTTACCTCTTGTAAGTAAACATACAGTTCACCATTTGAAGGATCCAAAGAGCTGTGCTTGGCACCAACCTGGTGAATTATTGTGTAAAGTGCCTCGCAGTATAATGCTTCTCTCTAAAATCACAATAAACACAACAATRATAACAACAAACAAAGAAAGAAAAAAGGATGGACGGAGGGAGGGAGAGAGGGGGTGAGGGAGGGAGGGAGGGATGGAGGGAAGAAGGGATAGATGGAGGAAGGGAGGGAGGGATGGATGGATGGATGGAGGGATGGAGGGAGGGAGGGAGGGAGGGATGATCATTTGACATACTGGTACTAATAACCATGTGAGCATGTCCATCCCTATTGCAATCCTTATAAAAAAAAAACTCTTCAATCATTTTTAATTGTTAGTTATTTCAAAAGGAAAGTTAGAAATAACATTAAGTTTGTACTAAACTCAAGGAGTATTCCAGGAATTTTGGCGTTTTTCCCTATTTTCAAGAGCTTTTCAAGCGCCCTTAAGAACGTGTTTTCAATTCGAGGACTTTTCAAGGATTTCAAGGAGTAGCACAAACCCTGAAAGATATATTTGAGCAGGTTTTCCAATGTATACAGATCAAAGGTAGTCCAGGCCCAGTGGTTTTTATTACAAGATGCATGTTAAATGATTTACTGAATGATTCCACCTTATTTTTGAATTCTGTAACTTCCCTACATACTAAGAAAATCATGAAAACTTGCATTTTGTAACAAAATAACGTAGAGCCAACATGAGCCTGACTGCATGGGTTTTTATTCAAATTATGTGTTCTTTCCAGCATAGGCAGCAGAGGTTCTCATCCTCCCTCCCTATCTTTGCGGTTGTTTCAAATTTCCCATTTTATTTTGATTGTTCAAATACTTCCAGTGCCCTTAACTTTTCATTGCATTTCATTTTTTAAATGCAAGTATTCATCAGAGTCTACAGTGATGCACGGATCAAATCAATTAGGTCAACACGTTTAAAAGCACAATGTCATTCAAATATATAAAATGAGATTAATTATAACTGCCAGAAAACTGATTCGTTACCAGACAGGGCAAAACAATATTGTGTTCATAGAGCTGAGTATTTACTAATTAAACATTTAYTACTGATGTGCAAGGTACACATTGATGATCATAGTATACATATCTGCAATACTTTTGTCATCAAAGACATACCTGTTTTTGTGATAAAGTTGAGGATTTCCCATCAGACAGCACTTCTTGAACATCACCACACCCTTCCTCTATCTTGTCTAAGTCACCTGGTTCTGGAAGGTCCTAAGAATTGGTGTAAATTGTGTAATAAGGCACAACAAGAAACATTCAATATTAAATCTTATTTAATCATAAGCACCTTAGATCATATGGGGTAAGGGTGCTATTTATGGGATGTAAGTGTAGCAGCTAGGTGGTGGTTGGTGGGGGGGAGCGGGTCAGGTGGGGCAGTGCAGTTTGGGGGGGGGGAGGAGGGGGGAGTCAGGTGGAGTGGGAGAAGGGGCAGATGGGCTATATACCTCCCTTTTCTGAATAATTCTTTTCAAATTGCCCTTAAATTTTTAAAAATCATAAAGCTTGCTATGTTGGCGTACAGTATGCTAGCATACAACATCAGATTAAATAATACATGTAGGTCCTTTGCAAATAATAACAGAAACAAAACTGCAAATCATT